GATTTCTTCAGTAGCTGCCACAGCAAACCTATGACTCCTCAGTTCACAAAGTAACGAGTCACAGCTCCGCCAAGGAAGGAGTCAGCAACAGAACCAACATAATCCACCTACACAGGTCATCCAAAGCCATTTCATTCTTACATGACACATACACTTGCATCTTCTTCACTGTTTTGAGACTCACGGTTTGGACTCAAGAACAAACTGCAAGGTTAGGTTACGGAGTGTTTCCACAGAGGGAAAGCTAACCTGAATGCCTCTATCTGCTGCAAGTTAGACAGCATGTGCAGACACAAAACTGCAAAATCTGCTGGCATACAGCAATTATAACCTTGATGCTATGGGCTTACACGCCCAATGCGTGGTAAGCATGTTTAGCGGAAACAAAGAGTAGCAGAAGAGAAGCCTGCCAGGTTTTTAGCACAGAGAGCGAGCACACAAGCAAGCATTCGTACAAGCATGAAAGGCTCTTCTACACCAGCAAAAAGGTTAGAGTTCACCAGGGAGGGAAACGGACAGTGGGCCCATCCAAATGCAACTCCTGCACCTGGGAAGAGACCTGCCCACAAGTTTAGAAATGCCAAATCAGTTCCTAATATCCAGCAGCCACGCTTCAGTGTGAAAGCATACAAGGATTTATTATTATGCTAGCAGCTGGGTGAAGCAAGCTGCTGAACAATCTGTCAGAGGCTGGAAAAGGCACAGAACATTACAAACAAAAACCCCAAAATTCACACCACATAAGTTATTAAGAGAAAGTCTGTGTGGGTAGCAATTTCTTTCAAACAGTTGAAATTAAGTTAACAACTTCAGGGCATTTAAAAGCACATACAGTATCACGAGAGAAACATAAATCCTCCAGGCTCCACTGACATAATACTTACCAAAGGCAAATAAAAACCTTCTTCTTGAAGAGTGGAACTAAAAAGGAGTGCAACGAGTCTGCTAAAACGTACATAATCCCAAACATCAGCATGCATTAAATTAACTACAGAAAGCTTATGTATTACCCCTCCTGTCTTGAAGAAGCTACAGAACAAGAAAAGTCATTAACATTTTAATGAGTCTGGGATGGCAGGGCCCTAAGCTGGAAGAATTCAGCTTCCAGGGGATGTGCAGAAAAAGGGAAACGGAGGGAGACAAAGTGACTCCAGAAAACCTCTGCGGGATGAACAGTATGGGTAGGAGCCTTTTAAAATTCGAAGCGTTTTCAAATAAGAGGCACAGATTTTTGAAGAAAAGGAAGCTTACGTGCAGTGCCAGCCAAGGCTCAAGAAAACAAACTGCAGAAATCTGAGCACATCTTCCCTCCTTCAGACTGCGCTTCTTTTCTAAATCACAGGATCTGCAGAAATTGAGAACTTGCCCCAGAAAATGCCCGCATGCCATGGGAAAACAAAGAGCACACAGGCATTTCTTATTCTGCCTGGAACAGTCTCTCTCTTGTACCACGTAAGAGCAAAGACTTGCACTGAAACTCTATGCAAAGTACAGGACTATATTAGAGCCATAGCCTAACTATGTACATTTGCTTCAGCAACCCGGTTTCCTTGCACAATTCACCAATGCTGTGAGAATCCGGAAAAGGATTTGTTTAAATTGAGGGAGGCTGTGACAGCCAGCAGTAGTTTTAGACACACAGCAGTTGAGCAGCAGACTCTCTCTTCTTCTGACTCTGTATGTCAGAGCAAGATGCTAGAGGGAATACTTTCAGTAAGTTCCTGAGTCTCAGGCACCCTTTGCCAGCAACTCAAAAGCTCAGGCATCCAGCATCGAAACCCTATGAGCCTATTTTCTTTCGTTTCCAGAAGGGGGAGTACGGTCAGACCTGTTGCACCAGTTTTTTGAACAAGCTAAGAGTAGGGGGCAGAGATAAACTGCATCACCAAATAACCTTTTAAAGCGTTCAACACTGCTACGCCGTTTTCTTAGCACAGCTTTTCGGCCCTCTGATATTCCCATCCTTGAATCACTCGTTCAGCCTTTGCTCAAACAGGCTCCTCGAAACTAGAGAAGCACTGGTAGGAACATTTCTGATGAAATCCACATGAAAACACGGAATTGCAGAGATATAAAAAATAGCATCAATATGCAAACAACCTAGGAGAAGTTTAAGATCATATGGCTCCCTGCCTTCCCCAAATCCTTCCCCTTCTGCATCAGTGAGGCTCTCTTACCTTACCCCCTTTCCAGACACCCCCACAGTGAAAGGCAAGGTGACAGAAACACTGAGTTTATATCTGCTGAAAATTGTAAAGCTTTACTTAAAAGCATTTTCATAGTCCTATATTCAATTATTAACCAAAAGCTGCTTAAAAGATGAACTATGTAGCATACTGTTAAAATACACTAACTTATCTTGAGCATTTCAAAATACTTGAAAATTTAAGAAAGCCATATTCTAGAGTTTCCCTGCTTGCTTTTGTCTGAGAGCCCACAAACTGGAGATATATCTGTAGTGTAGAACACTGCATTGCACAGGCAGCCAGAGCTATCTCTGAAGAGTCAGCGGGGATCCTGCAAGAGCAGATCCCACCTCCAGAGAAGTACACCACCGATTCAGCCATACAGCTCATAGACCATCTCACATGGCTTCAATGATTATACATAGACCAAAGGATTACATGGTAACAAGAAAGGAAGAATAACAGGGAAATGGAAGTACTTTCTTCATTTAAAGCCCCTTCCTCCTCCTCCTCCTCCTGTGATGAGATGTTAAAATATGACTAAATATCACTAAATGAATTAATCTGTGGAGGAAAGAGAATGCCCACAACTGAAAGCAATTAGTGCACTAAAGCAGACAGCTAAAACAATAAAAAATACAGAACAATCATCTCTTATTTCCCAAGTTCAGATGTCACCATCACACTTTCCTATTCATGCAGCATGCTGCATTTTGAAGAGCTGGGCTGTTTTTCTGTGTCTGAAAGGCATACAAAGGATTCCTAGTTTTTGCTAAGCCGTTTGTTACGCAGAAAAACAACTGATGAAGTGCAAACCACGGAACAGAAGAAACCTTCAGAAGGTTGAGAATCTAACACATGGGAAGCTGGGTTCAAAATACAGCACTAAGAACCAAAAATTGTAAATATTCAAAATTCCACATGAGACTTTTCCCCTGCAGCACTCCATATGGTGTGTTCTTTTGCTTTTAATTTCAAGAGCCAAATGAGTTGTAAGACAACCACAACATGATTAAACAGAGGAAAGTAACATCAGTCGTCTTCCGTAATGGACCCTCGTATCACCTCACTCGGTGCGTTTTTTTTAATTTGAAGAGTCAAGTCATACAATAACTCTAACATGATTAAATAGAGGAAAGCCGTATCAGTCACCTTCTGCCATGAACCACAGAGAAGAGAAAATAACGCAATAAAATGGGTGATTAACGCTGAACTTTGGATCTAGGAAAGAAATTGCTTCCTGAAACTTGCGTTAGTCCAAGACATCACTTTAGAAAGCACTTCCTTGTGCAGTAACTTCTAATGACACATACGCATCCACCCAAGCATAAACATTCACACCGTCTGTTCTTGTTACAGTTGAGCTCTCATGCCAACTTTCAAGTCAGGCTGACAATAGTTCATATGGCTCTGATCCATCAGCTCTTTTGCAGCTAGTTATTCATTTCCAAAAAGAATTACTGAGCCAACACAGTATTTCCTTTTGTATAAGGTCTGTCACAGACAGCATCGATCTCAGCCAAACTCAGTAGCCAAAACACTGCATCAATTAATGCTCACATATTGCTAAAATGATTTAACTGACGTGTTTCTTCTGTCTCCCAGAGTACTTCTTTTCAGTTTTCTTCTCTTACAAGGTTTTGTAAACATGTATAAAATTCTATGGTTCACAAAAATTTTTCAACAACTGCCTAGAGACTTGTTACACTTCAGCAATTATACCATCAGATAAAGATGGCATTAAAAGCATTAGATAAATAAAGGAAAGATGCAAAGTTCAGGTTGTTACAGGACAGTGAAGCGGCCACTGAATATGCTTCGCTGGCCAAGAGTCAATGAGAAGCTAAATCGTAAGGCTTTCTTTTGAGTTGTTTTTTTCTCCCACTCTCTGGTATATCCTTCATTTATTTACGGGCATACACAACCTTGCTCTCTCCCACCCCCACTACATCACACCTCAGAAAGCATTTTGTGCAAATTCACTGAATATAAAGAGGCAAAAAAAAAAACCTGACAGTTGCTCTGCTTCAGCAACATTGATTTGCTGCTTCCAGACCACTGGGTCACAAGGCTGCTTAAAGGTGACCCACCAGGCCCTGAACTTCTTTCAAAACTGCTAAATCCACCAGACCACAAAAAACAGGTAAGAATCGAGCCACTTTCACTTAGCGGCAACTAAAGCAAACAATACAGCAGAACGAAAAACCTACGTAGTTTCCAACAGAAATTTTTAAAATGCAGTTACCTCCAGCATCCTTTTTTGAACTGATCTCTGCAAGAGGCAAACAATGATTCTTTTTCTAAAAGCAGAACCAGGAATTACCTGCACTCTGTCTCTTGCTACTCACAGGTAAAGAGGAGAGAAGAGGGGAAGAACTGGGACCCAAGCCGGACTTCTAACCCCCGGGGCAGCCCTTTTTGCACAGAAAGGAGCTTTCTCCTCTCATTCTTTTTTTTCCTTCACTTCTAGGCATTTAAGAGAGTTTGGAAGAAGAAATCAAGACATGACAAAAATGTACATGTAGTGTGACAGATATAAATATAAAAAACAGGATTTAAAGTGTTCTTTAAATTGAAAATAAAGCAGTTTCTCAGGCAGAACTAGAGTCAAGCAGTATTTTATTATTGTATTTTTATCACTGACTTCTCCTCTACTCTTTCTCTCCTCCCCATCCAGAGCTACAAGCAAATCCATGCATAACACAGAAAAGCCTTCTGTAGGACATGTATATAGCAACTTCAGAGACAGAACTCACAGTTTGATAGATCATGTCATATGACTGTATGGAATGAAACATTAACTTTTTAGCTTACCATTTCGAGATAAATCAAGTTCCACCAGCTGCATGAAATTAGCTATTTCTGGAGGGAGTCGCTGGATTTCATTATCACTAAGTCCTAGTTTCCGTAACTTTACAAGCTGGAAGAAAGGCTGAAAGAAAAAAAAAATTCACATCAGAAAATTTTCATATAATTCGCATATAATCATGATAAAGGATAAGTAACAACACACTATAAAAGGTCTACTGGAGGCTGCTTTCAAGATTTGGGCTAATTGAAGTTATTGCTTAGAATCAGTTATGCAGACTCAGACTTCTTTCAGAACCGCAACAGAATAAACAACTTTTTTTAATTTTTACATGGAAATAGACTATTATCTGTATTTTACTTAAAATGAAAATCTGTTTTAAAAAAAGGCAACTGCAAAGTTAGCTATTAAAGATCACAGCAGACACACAATAGTGAAACCCAGAGTGCCTGCTTCAAAATTATTAATGGGGTGAGGCTACCCAGCACAGTAATTAAAAGCATCCTAATTACACACCTGGGCTCATTAGGAAGTTAATACAGAGAAACACTTCTAAAGGATGATCCAGAAAAGCCACGCTGAGGGGTTGTGAAGGTTTTCTTTTTCATGGGCAAGTGCAATAACCAATTAGGTTATAGAGCTAGTTTCCCTCAGGACTTCTCTTTTTCTGGCCTCATAAATCTCATGTTCCTGCCTGTACGGTGGCCCAGTTTCAGAAGGACTAATGAAAGTTGCAGGACACAATTTCAAGTCTTCCCAGCTTGAAGAGGAACCAAACCCAGATGCGTCTCTACGGTAAGGTTCTCTAGCCTCTCGAGTAGGTACAGCCACTGTTTCTGCAGTCTTTGTCCAAGAGCAACCAGAGAGAGACTGCACACCTCAGATGAGCAGAAAGGCTGCCCCAAAAAGGGCCTGCAGGTAGAATGTGACAATTGCTCAGTAGGCTGCAGCCAGGGCAGGCAGCTCATGCAATGCGGAGCAGCACGCTCACTTCAGCAACTCCCCCAGCTATGGATTCAGAGCACCTCACACCCCCCAGGGTCAAAAGAGCCATCAGATGATACAGGCCAAGCATGCAAGCTGCATCTGAACTGTGAGGCAGCTGCACAGGACTCAGGCACTGCAAGGCACGTCAACCCTGCACTACATTGGCAAACTAGAGGCAATGCTACCACAGCTCTCCTCCTCTTCCACACCGGCACTGGCATGAAAGAGGCTGCAGAAGGCAGGGATCCGTGCACAACTCAATGCTGTTAGATACGTGACGTCTTGACTGTAACCGCCTGCACTCCTCAAATTTTGAGTTTTGCATCTCTGGACTGCACAAGCATTTTTACACGGCGCTTAGAACCGGTGCATCTCATTCCCTACAGACACCTGGGCATGCATGAACCTCAGCGTTTCTTCCACAGAAAGCTTTCAGGGCAACAGGAAGGTGATAGCAAGCTTTGGATATCTGTTTAAGTTTGATCATCTGGACTCCTATCTTTTTAGTACCTCCATCCTTCCTTTTTTTTTTTTTTCTCCAGGTGCTGGAATCTTTGCTCTAAATGTCACTCATTTCTATGCTAGACTGGTGTAAAAAGGGGCAGTAAGACAGGCATCTTACTGGGACACGAGGCAAAAACAGTGTCTGATGAATCTGTGTTATGATATAGGTTTTGTCTTGGCTTGAGTGTCTTATGCCCAAGATTATAAAGTCTTAAGTGCAAGATTCTGCAACCTCAGCACCATTATTTCAGTATACATCTCTGTTCCTTGCCACAGAAAAATAAAACACAACTGAAATAAATGTGTTCTCTCTCAAAAACATAGATTCCTTGCAGCGAATAAAAAGGATGGAGCTTTGAAGAGTTTATAAATATTCAACAGTCAGAGAAGGCGTGTTTTTGAATCAGAATGCCCCCCCCACCCCACTGCAACGAATTAAAGGCCTCTGAGAAAAGAGGAGTTGAACTTTTAAGAAGAGGAAACCCCTCACAATTCCAAGTTTCAGGCTCCCTAAAAATACACGTTACAACTAAAATAGCCACAAATCTGAGGTTCTTTAATCCTTCTTCATCCTCACAAGAGCTGTAACCATATTTTCATTACATTGACACATTTATTTTATCTTCTAAAACAAAGGCAGTCCTTCTGCTAAATATTTGTTAATATGATTAAACTAAGAATCCATCAGAAGCTTTAAAAAAAGGACATAAAAATACTTTTGTTAAAATATAGTAGGAGTCCACTCAACTGAAAAGGTTGCAATCTGCATGCCAACGCTGCCCAAAGTAAGTATTTGGCAAAAAGTGCTGAAAAGGTATCTCACTGTATAGTTTTTCTCTGTCAGTTCTGGCTGCCAAACTGTAAGACAGTTATAAATATTGATGTTCTAATGCAAATCTTCTCATAAGCAATAGCTGTCCTTGCTAGAGATACTTTACAGCGGCAAATGAGAAGAGCAAGATGAGAAACAGGAACATGATTGAAAGACAACTGACTGAAATACAAAATGGTCATCAAAAAGCTATTAAGAGGTAGGCATCCCTAAGGAAGTTTGAGTTCTCACCTCACCCTCCATCAGTGTTGCATATTTTTACTGAACGTGCAACACACCTGTGCGCAACAAACAAGAAAACAAATCACATAATATTTAAAGACATTACTGTTTCTGTAACAGGCTACTCAAAGGAAAAATTAATTGGAAGCTTGTTTTCTATTTGCATAACAATTTTAAAAGAATGACACCATTGCCTAGATAAAATTGTAAGCTGCAGTTACGTGAACAGCACTCCTTCACGCCTCTTGTTTTGTTTTCCCTTTAAACTACGAAACTAAACTGCTCCTGCATGCTTAGTGGATCCTACTCCCATTTGAGTTGTTATTCTTTCTTTTCCAAGGCACACTGTTAACACTCTCACAAGCTACTGGAGAGTCAAACAGCAGTTCCTTTTTGCCAAATTTGTTTTACCTGTCAAAAAGACCACAGGGAAGAAGAAGAATTAAGAGTATACTGAACAGAGTGCAACAACTGTAAACATGTATACCAATATTTGTTATGTTCTAAATCTATGTTAAGCATAAACACGTTCCTAGTATAACAAAGAGAGGGCAGCTGCTATTTGAAAAGCTCTGACAGGAACCCAAGTGCAATATAGCAATAGCTGTTGTCTAGCTCAACCTAGACTAGAGCAGAACATCCACCCAGCACGCTGTAATAGCCGGTTTCGATTGCAGATCCAACTTATCTGCAAGTATTTTGGCAACACTTTTAACGTTGCTCCGTTTAGCCAGCCTAATTAAACAATGCTTCAATGATACAAATAATTCCATGAACATCAGCACTAAAGAAGCCTACAACCTTCTATTTACTGGCCATTTCCAGCCTCCAAATGAAGCTTTCCCGCGATCAAAGAATTTATAAAGGTTTCTCATATGTGATTTTCCTAAGAACACATCTTGAATATAGCCTCTCTCTCACGGGAAAACTAATCAAGTGTCTCTCCTCTACGCAACCACCTATTTTTTAAAAACCTTCTCTGTCAAAACTGTACTGATGTCAGCCAATGGAAGGAAAAAGAAGAGATGAGTGAGCAACCCACTGAAAAGTGCAGACAGATAATGATCCCAGTTTTCATTTTCCATACTTCTTGTTTGTTTGTTTTTAGAATTGCATTACAACTGGCACTCTTGAGTTTGAAGAAAAAAAAAAAAAGAGGTTAAAAAAACTAAGCCAACCTAGTCAGATTGATAGAACTCACGATTTTCTGGCTGGGCAAATGGACAAAACAATGCATATTGCTAGCTTTCTTTCAGTGATCCACTTCTTCAGTAAGAATATTAATGTACAAGAACCCTGGCCGAATAATACGATTACAAAAAAAAAGGCAAGAGAAATAGATGAAAGCAACAGGTAACTGGAATCAAAACCACAGGAGGGTACATGAAATACCTGCAAATAAAGCTGTTTTTGAGGAGCGACTTCTCAGCACTAGAGGTATGTCAAAGCAAAATTACAAACCCATTTTGGCATAGTTAGCATAACCAAAAGCTTAGTGTCATGAACAAAATCTTCCCATAAAAAGGTGACTACCAGCAGTGAAGAAAAACAAGATTAGAGACTCTAAAAAAAATCCACTGCCTGATTTTTAAGATGGGGCAGCATAAGCATCAGCAGTAAGAATGGGAGGGAGAGAAGTAAGAACACTGAAATTAACTGTGCTTTCAGAGTTGTACTATCACGGGACAGAAATGTACTATTTTTTGGTGCAGGTACTTCAGCTCTTGCCGACGCGCTTAAAATTTCTGAATACCTGCTCTTATGTCAAGATTCCTTTAGACACCAATAAGGATTTTGAACTCATGCATGCTGTCGCAGCTCTTAAGGTATTTAGTATTATATTCAAACAGTAGTAAGTAAGTTTCAAGATACACTTCACTACCTAGCCCTGACTCTTAAATCACCTCTAATTATTTCACTCATTTTCTAAACCTCTAACTGACCGGTTAAGAACGTTTTCCACATTTCAGAATTAAAAAGTGACACAGTAATTTAAATTTAGTTTAACTCTTATTTGCATTCCTTTTTTCACTTGAGGCTTTGTTTTCTTCTCCTACATCATAAACAAAATAAATGGGAAAGCCTTCACTTTATTTATGCATTTCCATTTACCTGACCTGTTACCTGACTTCTTTCAGTACCTGGATAATTGAAGACACTAAATCGGTCTGTCCCCCAACCCTTTTATACTGCCTCAGAAAGACTTCAGAAAAAGTCATGTCTTTTCTGAGGCAAACAGGAGCAGCAGCTTCAACTTGTTTTTGGCAGTCTAACAAAACAGCTAAAAAGAGAGTGCATTAAATAACTTCACAACACAACAGACACAGCACAGTCTACCTCCCCACTGAAGTCTCTAGTTACTAGACTACAGAATGATTTGTTTTGGGCCCCCAAAAGATTGCTTTTTTGTCTGCACGTTTGCACAGCTTCAGCCAGACAAGAGGGGAAACCCAACCTTTAAGGCTGACATGCAGGACACTGTGAGGAGAACGAGGGTTTAAATCTCATTAAGGCAGAAAAAGCACAGCATTCCGGTGTTCCTGCTTCCTGGAGAAGTGTTTAATAATGACATTCATACAAACACATTCCCCATGTTTATGAGAACAGAAAATGTGAAGAGGGAAGAGCAAACATTTCCTCATTCTTCATTCCTTTTTTTTTTTTTTTTTTTAAAAGGAATGGAGGAAAGTCATCTATAGTCCACTCTGAAGGAATATCCATAGGGGAGAATGAACGCTAGGGATTCCAAGAGGAGAGACCTGTAAATGCCATATCTGCCACTGATTCTGGTGGGATTTCAGACATTTCTCCTACTCTCTAAGTCAGCCACGAAACTTAACAGCCTGGAGTTATCCAACAGCAGCCTACCAGAACCAAGGTCATTTTTACACTCAGGGCAAGTTATAACAGAGTTTGCTTTTCACTCGGGCAGTAAGGCACTAAGAGACAAGAGTTGCAAATAATTTTTAAGCAAAAATTCCTGTCTGGGATGTAATGCTGTATGTGGCTGTCTCAGAATCCATCTCAGTGCTTCTGGTCAGTAACATGAGCAGAAGCACTGGGGAAAGTGGACACCAAGAATATAGAGAGCAGACTCCCTCCTCTTGAAGCATTTCCTAACTATTTAATGAAATACTTATGAAGCTAGATCTTATCGTGGATTTATGAAGTGTGAAATGAGCTTCAGGCAGACGCCAGAGAAGTCCAGTATGGGGTCTAAGAGCTTGGCATCAAAAGGAAAGCCTCCTATCAACATCGGGATCCCCAAAGTCATTCCACCTGCTTTCAACCGTGAGCAGGCATGAGAAGAATGGGGTTTCACAAACACTGATTCCTTGTGTTCCTTCAGGACAATCATTTTTTAATTTTCAAATATGAACCGCTAAGCAAGATACCTAAAAGATTTCTGAGGGTAGGGACTTTTTAACAGTGCAGTACAGCAGGGTCATAATGTAACTGATGCCTCTAGACTCTAGATTTACTAGAAGCACTTCCTGGCTTTCCTCTCAAGCAGTGAGGCTCACTTCAGCAGCAGGTACCATACTGTGGTACACAGAAGTCTGCTCACTTTTCAAAAGGCAAGCCAGGAAACATACAATTGCTCCACACACCAGTTCCGCAATTTCTGTATTCAAGTGTTTCATGGCAAAAAGAGAACTTGTTATAGATTTTTAGCATGGTGAAAGATAACTTCACATGCCCAAATCACATGTGTAGAATAGGCTGAAACTGTACTTGGATCTTGCAGCATCCTGTCATCAAGTTTGACATCACGAATAGCAACGAAAGACAGCATCAGGGCAGACATTCAACAGAGGACACTGAGGCACAATTCTGTATGAAACATTAATGAAATGACTAAATGTCATGACAACAAAAAGGATTAATGAAAGATCACACAGTTCATGATGCAAATCCTTTGGGCATGTAACCTAAATGATGCATCTGACAAAGAAAGGGAACCAGACATTGCACCTGCTCTCTCTCCCTCGAGTGGATACTTTAAGCTTGACGCAAAGGATCAGATAGGAAGAAGGGAACAGGTGGAAAAGGGTCTACATGAGACAGCAAAGATTATAACTGACGCTTCTTAGAAGCTGGCATCCAACATCCACCTGCTTTGTTTCTTGCCCCTATTTTCAAAGCACCTACCATTTACTGAACTACATTCAATGATGGGTCAATTCCAGGTCCAGCTCCAGGTTGTTTTACCATTCCTTTTTAAAAAATAAACAAGGGACTATCCACACTTAAAAAAATAACATACCGCAGCACTGAATCACAATGCTGCTCTGCCAAGCAATGCACTGAACAGGTTGCCTCATGCTGTTTTCTGGTAGGGAAGGATTTACTTTTATGTCAATTAATCAAAGGCAATAAAGGTTAAAAGAGCATCTGATGCCATAGTCATCAGAGCACAGCAGAGGGAGGGAACAACTCTACCTTTTAGAGAGACTAGAAACCACGTGCAGGTTCACTGCTGTTAAACGTATTTGCTGCTTGGAGAAAGAAATTTTCTCACTAATAAGTGCACAGCACCATTTTTCCAGTACAAAAGACAAGGTTGTTGGCAAAAGGTAACTTTTTTTTTTTTTAAACCAACTGACGTAACTGGAAAAAATAACCCCATGTATACCATTACAATTTATTTTAGAGCAATGGATGTGTGATCTCTGTCCATGAGGCTTGTCTTATCCGTGTCTGCACATCATGCAGAGGAGGGGATGCTATCATTCTACTGGAACAATACACCCTTCACAGAAAAAAAGTGAAAGACTGTTGAGACATAAGCACCCTATTACCTTCTTCTTAAATCAGGAGATCTCAGCTGTTACTAAGCAAGATGATGGGACTACAAAAATTAGTGTTAAAAAATATATTGGATCAAGCAGGCTTCAAAAATATGTGCGAAAATCTTCTGAACAGTCTCATGGCCATTGACAGGGAAGTTAGATTCTGTAGAGGACAACGGAGTAAGTTCTTCCCCTGCCCCAGCCAGTTTGTGATCTTCCATATCTGACACCAAAAAGGCACAGTATTTTCCTCAAGTCTTAAGCAGTATAACAGAAAAATCTGGAAGCTAGCAGATAAACTAAGACCTATTTATCTAATGAAGAGCCTGTCTTCTCTGGAGCCGTCAGCACAGTGTTCTATATTTAGAAGGAGGTTAATACAATGATCCAATGCTACTTCTCAACAAAACCTCATTTATTTCAATAATTTTCAAATCAAGCATATGTTACAGATTTGTAATAATTGCCTGTATTCACAAATGGTTTTTTTACGAGAGAAGTATTCTCAAGACACTGAAATGAAAAGTTGCAGATTTTTTTTTAAAAGTGTTTTATATAATATTTGTCATACTGAAAGCATTACTCAATCAAACTTTTACTAAAATTACCTTCTGTCTACATAGTCTTAGTACATACCATACTGTCTACACGTACTTCAGTTTCATAGTTGCATAACTAACTTCATGAAATTAACTGGAAATACAAGCTTGTTCAACTGCTACAGTGCATTTCATCTTCAAGCATTTACAAGACATGCAAAAACACCATGACAGTATCAGTGTTGAAAGTAAAAATTAAACTTCTGTAGGTGCACGAAAGGTGAAAAATCATGACTTAGTTCTATTTGTACCATTAAAGACTTCAAAAGCTGAAGACATGTGAAATCCTTGAAACGCTCTCCATAGAAGCATGGAGTAGTTGGGGCTGGAGGAGACCCCTGGAGATCATCTGGTCCAACCTCCCTGTTCAAGCAGGGTCAGCTAGAGCATGTTGCCCAGGACCCTATCCAGATGGCTTTTGAATATCTCCAAGGATGGAGACTCCACAACCTCTCTGGGCAACCTGGTCCAGTGCTCAGTCACCCTCACAGTAAAAAAGTCTTTCCTCATATTCAGATGGAACTTCCTGTGTTTCAGTTTGTGCCCACTGCCTCCACTGGGCACCACTGAGAAGAGTCTGGCTCTGTCTTCTCATTAGCTATTTATGAACATTGCTAAGAGTCTCCCCTCAGTCTTCTCTTCTCCAGGCTGGACAGTCCTAGCTCTCCCAGCCTCTCCTCAGAGGACTGATGCTCCAGTCCTTCAATCATTTTCACAGCCCTTCACTGGACTCGCTCAAGTAGTTCCATGTCTCTCCCGTACTGAGGAGCCCAGAACTGGACACAGCACTCCAGGTGTGGCCTCATCAGGGCTGAGTAGGCCAGAAGAATCACCTCCCTCGACCTGCTGGCAATGCTTCTAATGCAGCCCACGATGCTATTGGCATTCTTTGCCACAAAAGCACACTGCTGCCTTATGGTCAACTTTTTGTCCACCAGAAATCCCAGGTCTTTCTCTGCAAAGCTGCTTTCCAAAGGCTGCTGGTTGGCCCCCAGCCCGTCCTCGTGCAGGGGGCTTATTCCTCCCCAGGTGGAGGACTTGGCATTTCCCTTTGTTAACTTCATGAACTTCCTCTCTGCCCTTTTCTCCAGCATGCCTAGGTCCCTCTGAATGACAACCATCTAGTGTACCAGACACTCCTCCCAGTTTTGTATCATCTGCAAACTTGCCGAAGGTGCATTTGGTCCCATCGCCCAGGTCATTAACGAAGATGTTAAACAGACCTGGAGCCAATACCGGCCCCTGGGGTGCTCCACTAGTAACTGGCCTACCGCTGGACTTCATGCCACTGATCACAACCTTCTGGGCCCAGCAGTTCAGTCAGTTTTCAGTCCACCTCACCGTCTACTTATCTAGCTCACACTTCAGCAGTCTGCCCACAAGGATGAGATGGGAGACAGCGTGAAAAGCATTACTAAAGTTGAGATAAACAATATCCACGGTTCTCCCCTCATCCACCAAGCCAGTGATCTTATCATAGAAGGCGGGCTGCTTAAGCACTATTTCTGCTTTGTAAATCCATGCTTACTACCTCCAGTCACCTTCTTGTCCTCATACGTTTGGAAACGGTAGACAGGATTATTTGTTCAGTCACCTTCCCAGAGAACAACGTGAAGCCGACTGGCCTGTAGTTCCCTGGATCCTCCTCCTTGCCCTTTTTGAAGACTGGAATGACATTTGCTTTCTTCCAGTCCTCAGGAGCCTCTCCCAATCACCATGATCTTATGAAGATTATCGAGAGTGGCCTCAAAATGATATCAGCCAGCTCCCTTAGTATTCCCAGGTGCCTCCCATCAGGTCCCATGAACCTCTGTATGTCCAGTTTGTTTAAACGTTCCTCTCCTTGTCTGCTCCTCAGTCACCTGCATCAGGAAGTTGTCATCAACACTCCAGAAACCTCCTGTTTGCTTAGTCCCTGCTGTGTTATCCAACCAGCAAATACCAGGGTGGTTGAAGTTCTCCGCGAGGTCCAAGACCTGCTAAGCTGAGATATCTTCCATTTATCCATTTCTTATATAATTTCTTTCCACAAGAGATTGCTGGTGAGTATCTCCATCGTGACAGGAACTAAAGCAGAAAGTTTTGTCTAAATTTCTAAGAAAAGAGGTATGGTATAGGAGGAACAGAGAGACCTTTTCTTAAGGAGCTTTCAAAAGTTTTCAGTCCTGATAACAGCACCTTTGATCTCAACACCACGCGTAATAAAGAGATACAGATTCTGCCTAAGTGGAACAGTATGCAGCAGCATACCATTGGCCTCTTCAGCAGAAACCAGGACACAAGAGGTGGCCAGCGCTTAACTAGCTCTCTAGGGGAAGTGGTCTCACATCCACCAAGGAACTCTACAGAGAAGTACTAGCATATAACACCAAGAAGGAAAAGTACAAATGACAGATATGATTATAGGTAAGCTCAAACAGACAAGTGAAATGATTCAAAGTTACATCAGATTAAGCGTACAAGTGCTGCGTGAAAATAATGGCTGAAAGAAGCTCAGCAAACTCGTAAGCCAAACTAAGTGCATAAACAAAATTTTGTGGGTTTTTTTGCCATTTGAAGTTTCTACATAAGCAAAGCCTGTTCCAAATCTCCCACAGGAAAGTGGCCTTCATCCCTTGAGCAAAACAAATGAATAACAGCAAGACAAAACAGCAGCAAGGCAAGAGTTACAAGCTATTTCCACTCCTCACCAATGCAGAGAATGCTAATTATTCAATATAAAAGCTGAAATATAATTCTACATACAAAGGTTGATAAGAAATTTCAATTTTCTACCCCAAAAAGTCAATGCAGAGATCCAGTTTTCTACTGCGAATCCATGCAGAGCGCAATTAAGCTGACAGGATGTACTGGCCCTTAAATTATAATGTACAGGAGTAGGAGACTACAGTTAATCAACTCGAGACTGATCTATAGATTTGAAAGCATCTCACTTTTTTTTTTTCTTAATCTGACACTTCTCACTAGAGAAGCTATTGAAATACATCATGCAGAATGTGTTATTTTCTTCTGTCAAAGCAATTTTCCAGAAAGCCTACTCTTCAGTGAGGTATAGTTTTTGACCTGTAACAAATTATATACTACACACTAGAGCTTGAGCTGAAAAAGCTTTCAAGTCCTCACTCATTCCTATCAGGGAAATAAAAAAAGATCCAGGTTTAGAAAAAGCACAAACTATATTTTTAAGTCAGTCTCTGTGCACACTGCTGTGAACATGTACTGTGTTTTTCCCAATCAAATCATATACACCAAGTAGTCAATGGAAAGCAATCAGGCTATTTCACATCCAACAGCTGGCAAAAGACATCTCCTTCTCTGCTTCATGGCCATTTCTTTTCAAATCTTTTCCCTTCTTTACCCCTCTACCCCTTAGAAAGAGATGGAGAATTACGCCGTACATTTTGGTCACCCAACACAACCGCAACAACAACAACAAGCTATTCTTTCAAAATAATTCAAGACCATTATTTGTTTGTGCTCTCCTAGGGATAGTTCAGACGCCTCTGATAATGTACAATGCAACAATATTGCTCAGCTAGGTCTTTCTACTAATCCTTTCCAATCCACACAGCAATGTATTAAGTTGTTGGGTTTTTTTTTTTTTGAAAACGCATATTCTGTGGTCTACTGTCACACCAGAATAGCAAAGATTTTAAGTACATTAGCAATGACTGCAGATTAAACCAAGTCTAAGACTACTTCTGTACCTTAAAACATTTCAAATAATATTAATAGCTAGCAGTTGAATTAGCAGAAGACAGTTTAATTGCATTACTTGCGTTGACTAACAACAATTCTTAAGAATGGCATGAGCATTTCTGGGCAGAAGGACTGTCCCAGACTATACAGTGAGCTTTCAAGTGAACACAACGTTTTATCTTAAGAGTTCCAGAAGCAGACTGGGAGCTCTCTGCAACCAATTAAAGTATCTATAGGTCTGTTTTAATTTATATCTGCTTTTATTTCACTGCAAGCCTACACAGCCATTCCCAAATTTTAAAGAATTCCTGCTCCTAAGTAATTAGGTTGTTTTTTTTACTGGTATATTGGAACAAACTAATCAGAGAACTCATTTTCATTGCTATTTAATAGAAATGGAGGCAGGGAGAAGCAGGTGAGAAGGGGAGAAATGCACGTATCCAACAGAATTTGCCTCACTGACCTGAGGGAAAACAGCTGAACCTTTCTGCAATTATTATAGCCTCCAGATCTTGTTAGTACACACCACTAGGAGGAAACCAAGTATGGCAAGCCCAAGCGTTCCAAGATACTCCATGAACCACTTACTAATGTTTATCTGCCTCAGAAAAATTTAAAGGATGAAAAAATTCAATGACTGGATGGAGAGCAGATGTGTCTGGAGGAAAAGCCATCATCAGTGCCCCAGACGTGCTGCGCGGCAAAGCTGAAAACGGAATTTGCCGAGATCTACTTGATTTCAGAGAAACATTCAGATGTCTCCTGTCTGTTGTAACAGCCGTTCCAGACTGGACCTCCCTAAGTGAGGATGATGAGGTCTGAAGTACCAATGAAAAATGAAGAGCATGGCAAGAGAGTTTTAATTCTGTTCATCCTACAGCTACTGTGGCTTTTACTCGAAGTGACAGACTGCAGAGGGATTCTTCTTCCCTATTTCACAGGGAGCCTTTACAGTACAAATTTCTTAAAGAGGATCACAAAGTTCTCAGTGACAGGAGCTCTTTGTTAGCATTATGGAATATGTTTTAGCATCAGCACAGTCTATGGATTATTCACCAGCCATCAGCACAGATTATAGTGAACTTTAGGAATTCACCAAGTACGGAAACACTTCTAACTCGTGTCGTTGGCATTACACATGTCCCCTAAATGCCGGAACTCAGCCTAGCAGTGGTTTGATTTCGTGCTACTGCCTTTATGCACATAGAGAAGAAACTTTAAATAGAGGTATAGTAAGATTAATATAATGCACAGCACTAGATCAAGGGCCTAATGATGGTTTAGAGCTATGCTACCCTAAGAGCTTGTTAATCAGACTCCTTCATGATCTCCTTAGTGCTTTCTGTTGAAGAGGTACCATGTATCCCTGCTTGTGGTACTTATTTCCAATTGTGTGTCTGTACTTTGCATCACACTGTCCTTTTAATATTAAGGAGAACAAACACTCTGTTCTGTAGAAAACTTAAAAACAGAGACCTTCCATTATTCCCCTGAGCGAGATTCCTACAGTAAAAGATTTAAAGCTAGTAGAAATTTTAAATGAGATCTTTTTTGATGAAATTGTAATGTCTGTCTCCAGCTTCAAAAAAAGAGGAGAGAAGTGGTGTTATCACATGCAGGATTGCATCTGGGTTTTTTTTATAACAGAAATATCTACAGATTCAAAACTTATCTGAGATGAAGACACCATATTCCATTCATCAGAAATCATTAATAAGGAACTGACAAGGAAAGTTCATAGGTCAGTGCATGAAGCCCTAATAAAAATGCCTTGCTGTGTTGCTGACAACGCATAATGTACAAGTAAGTTTCTGCAGCTGTATTTCATTGGAGTCCTCCTAGTCCAG